TTTGACTCAGTGATTCCAGCACCAGCTGTTGCTGAGATGATGTCTGTGCACCTTTAGAAATGGCGATGAAACGCCAAAAAAGCCAAACATTTGCTTTTTTTCTTTCTACAACATTACAACGAAGGGAGGGGGATACGATATTTGGCATCTAACGTTTATTTTGAAAACTGGGAACACAAACATATATCAGATAGCATCAAATTCTCTTCTTTTTCCACTTTTTGGTGGCATTAAACATACTAAGGTTTGTTAATATACAGTAGAAAAGATTAATTTTTATACATTTTCTCCCTGGATTCGAATCCTGAGATTATACAAAATTAATGCAGTGTGAACCTGAAGCTACCCTGTGATATACCACCGTGAACTTGATTGTTCCATTACAGATACTTGATGTGGCGTGAGGATAACTTCAGGGTGCGTGCTCACAGAAGGGGAGAGGTGCCTGCCCGACACTGTGGTGTCGCCAAGAGTAGCAGGTGGCAGCGGTTCTCTGAAACACCACCTATCCCCTGCCCTCCACCCCTCCAGCCCCGATATCCCTTAGAACACTGCGGCATTTGCTAGTGCCTCTCTCATCGGTGATGGCGCCCAGGGAAACAGATAACGTCTTAGATGGCTACGATGGTGCCCCTTTCTTTCAGGCAAAGTTGATGTGTGGAACTCTGAATTTGTTGGATACTTTAGGGAGACCATTATTCACTTTCTAAAGGGATTCTTTCCCTCCTTGAAGGATTTGCGATAGAATACTTTAACCAGTAGTTAATTTCCGACTCTTTCTGTACACAGACTTTACAGAGCATTTCTACTGGGCTGAGTGAATTACACTGAAAGCATGAAAATTCAAACAGAAATCTACACCTGGTCTCTACCTGAAAATTTGCTTGGCAGAATTTTTGGGTCACTTTGTCCTGTGTAAAAACTCCTCCCTCCTCTGCTTCACTTTATTAACTGGTATGTAGCCGTGCGTGTGAGGTGTTAGTGCAGTTCTGATGGGTGGAGCCTTCTTCCCTGTAGATTTTGGATTGGGAAGGGCCTTTGTACACATAAATAAATAAACTCTTCTTTTAAAGATTTTATTTATTTATTTTTAGAGAGGGAAGGGAGAGAGAAAGAGAGAGAGAGAGAGAAACATCAATGTGTGGTTACTGGGGGCTGTGGCCTGCAACCCAGGCATGTGCCCTGACTGGGAATTGAACCTGCGACACTTTGGTTCGCAGCCTGCGCTCAATCCACTGAGCTACGCCATCCAGGGCTAAATAAATAAACTGTTAATTCAGCGTGTCTGTTCTGTGATATTACTAGAGCTGTTTTTTTGTTCAACTTAAATTTATTTTGCCATTTAAAAATGTTTCTGGAGCACCTTGATTTTACTTTAAGATCTGTTTTGTGCAGTATTCAGTATTTTTATAGGACTGTTATAATTTGGATCTTGTGTGACATATTGTGGCTTATAGTCTCCCCCCCCAAGACATTAACAACAAGACATGTAATTACAGAAGTTGGGCAAATCGGATTGCATGCCTACCTAGGTGACTTTATTTCTCCCAAGCAACATGTCCTTTCTCTGAAGAGAGGCATTTTGGTGATTTAAACCCTGCAAAGAAGAAAGTATTCAGGACTAGGTTTTCCAGTAACTAATCTGTGCAAAGTTGAACCGTTTGGGAAGGAAACTCTCCTCCGGGCTCCCGAGTCGACGACGACTCAGTTTGGCAGGAAGAGCGTCTGGGTCTCCAGTCCGTGCACGTGGAGGTGCTCGCCGCGGGCACCACTGTTGTTGTGTGTTTGTTTCTCGCGTGTCTTTGCTCGCAGCGTGCCACTGGAGGCTGGCTTTCCGAGGATCTCTAGCGCCGCGTCTCTGCATTTTATTTTCTGCTTGGACGGCCCCCAGTAGCCCCCCTTCACAGCTCCTTCACCCTGCCACCTGGTCTGCTTCTCACGGACTCTGTGTGGCTCTCAGAGTTGTATGTGGATCTAGTAAACTTAGCAAGGCTGAGGCACACGGACCCAGGTTCAAGTCCTGACCCTGCCACTTAGTAGTGTGTGATTTTGGGTGGATTTTGTAACCTTTCTGGCCCAGGGTCCTGTCTGGAAAACGTGGGTAGCGACAATGTCCACAGAGAAGTGTGATGTGAGAATTACATGTGGTGATGCCCGGCGTGTGGAGGTTGCCTTGAGAACCAGCTGCTGCTGTCGCCATGCCTTGGTGCTGCCTCAGGAACTAGTGTTCGCGGCCTTGCCCTGGAAGTCCAGGCTGTGCATTTTACACGTGTGCACACACTAAGCACACAGCGAGTGTTTGTTAAATCTCTAACGTGTGTGAGCCACTGTCTCGGCCACTGTGTGCAGACTGCTGCCTGTCCCAGTGGCGTGGGTTTCGATCCCACTTCTGATGCACATTCTTTCCTGCTTCGGTGAACAGACCGTAGACTTGGCAAAGGCAGGGGCCATGCCTTGTTTAGTGTCTGGCAAACACTTGGTGCTTAATAGCTGTCTATGAAATGAATACAAAAATAAGTTATTAGTTCTGAGTGGAGCATACTGAAGATACAAGGAAGAGGCCATATTTGAGCTGGCGTGGAAGGGCATCTGGGACCCTTCCAGGAGGAGGGGGAGGGGCGATGGGGCCTACGGGCCGGAGGGGCGCCGAGTGCCCAGGGGGAGGGGTACACGGGGCTGCAACTGACACCCACCCGTGAGCCCCTGGGGCTGGGCCCCCGCGGATTTGGCCTCTAGTCTGCCTCTCACGGCCCATAACTAGCGATTCAGCGGTCAGGCCCTCCGTGCATGCTCACTGAACGCATGAATGTCACCTATGACTCTTTCTTTGGAGAGGAAGGGGTTAGGTTAGATAAAGCCAATCAGAACTCTTGAAAATGAGAGAATCTTTTAAATACAGTCCCAGCAAAAAATTTTTAAGCATTGAAAACTAGCTACATTTTGTATTTTTGGATAGAGTGAAAGCTAGTTCCATATATGTGTGTCAAATAACTTTTAGTCAGAGTAGAGTCATTTGTATTCTTACGTTGCCTTTCATCAGTCATATTGTCTGCCCAGTGAGAACAAAATCCTTAGGGCACACCCTGAAACCTTAGACCAAGTCTTACAAGGGAAAGGCTAACCTCGAGGTCCAGGGGAGAGAGTAATGAGCTATGCATCTTTCACAGTGGTGACGAAAACCAACAGCAAGACAGAAGAACTAGTAAACTCAGGCACAAACACAATTTTCTCAAATATTAAACAATACAGATATTATAGTGATAATGTTTTATACATCTTTTTTCTATAAGCATGTGAACCAGTTATTAAAATATCAAGGGAAAAAGATAAATTTAAACCTTTTGTGTCTTAACCCATAAGAATGTTCAATAACATGTAAGTAGAGCACCTGCTGCATATTGATAAATGGGTGGCTTCTTGTGCCTTCTGTCCATATTGGGGTGAAGATCCCCAATTACTTCATCTTCCATTAGAGTTAGCCATAGTGTAAAAGTAAGTACCTATCAACCATTTCTTCAGCTCAGTTCTGTATGAGAATGGTAACAAATGGTAACCATTCTGTGAAAATGGTGACTCATGAAAATGTAGACTCAGCTATGGGTTTCAATTCATGTGCTTCAGATATAATAACTGTGCAAAAGTAGTATCACATCAGAGGCAGTGTGTGACACAGGGAGCAACCTGTCCTCTCCGATGGTGCATTCAGTGAGTGGGAGAGGATTCTCTGATGCTCCCGTGCAGAGAGGGCCGGTGGCCACGCCCCTCTCCCAAAGCTCCTTTGGCGCCTTCCGCCTGTCAAGCAGATTGTTTTCAGTTCTGGAAGCACTGTGCCCTTCCGTCGGTCACCTTTACCTGTGTCCTGTCATTTCTAGCTCTGGGGCTTTCTGACCCCAGTATTTCAGAATCTCCCACGTTGGCAGCTCTGCAGTGGAACTGAGGGTTCTTTTTTATTTGGGGTGGTCGTATGCCCCCCAGGTGCTATTGCTGGCACATATACCCCGTTCTTGATGCATGTGTGTGCACACACACACACACACACACATCTATACGTATGTATTCACACACAAATGTCAGCTTTCTATTGACTCCTGTCAGACGCGTCTGAGAATGCTGCAATTCCGTGCCCTGCCCGCCCAGCAGGCGTGACTGTAGTCTGGGTTCCAGAATTCTGGAGAGCCTGTTTGTCCGAACAGTCCTGCGTGGAATGATGGCTCCTGCACCTTACTCCTCGCAGGACACACGGCGTTCAGTCTGTACCACTACCTGCCGTCTCCCGAACTGCGTATCCAGAAAGTGGCTTGTGGGCTGCTTCTGGCACTGTTTGGTTTTACAGCCACACACTCCACAGTAGTGACAGTCTGTCACAGATCCTCGTGCAGCGTCAAGAGTCCAGGCAGTAACTTTTTGCAGCTTTTGCATGTTGTGAACGATGCCCCTGTGGATATTTGGGCGTAATGTCTGTGTGGACGTTGGTTTCCGTTTCTCTCGGGCATATCACTGGGTCGTGTGGAACTCTCCGTGTGATCATGTGAGGAACTGCCCGGCTGTGTTGTAAAGTGGCCACAGCATCTTGCATTCCCGCCAGCTGTGCACGATGGTTCCAGTGTTTCCACCTTCTTCCCAACAGTCGTTGATTTGACCTGTTGATTTTCGTCATCCAAGTGGGCATGGACTTACGTAAGGTTGAAAGGACTTGGGAAGGATTTTCCTTTCCAATTGTTTTTAAATGCAATATAGGTTTTTAAGTGTGCCCTTTTCTAGTACCTGTGGAAGCATGACTGCAAACAGGTCCTATTGCCTGTCACAATAATAAAAGAAATTTCGTAGTTGCCAATCCAGAAGTGTCATTGGTCAGAACCAAGGTGGGAGACTTGAAAAGACTCGGGTGGGAGGAGGGTGGGTGGAGAAGTGTGGGAGGTGCTGCCTCTCCTGGAAGGCCGGTCTTTGCCTGGAGGCGCCCCGCTGCCTGCCCCGTGTCTAACGGCCCCTCTGTCTTTCAGGAGGACTGGCGCTGGCCCAGGTGCTCTTCTTCTACGTGAAGTACTTGGTGCTCTTTGGCATCCCGGCCCTGCTCATGCGCCTGGACGGACTCACGCCGCCGCCCCTCCCGCGCTGTGTCAGCACCATGTTCAGTTTCACGGGCATGTGGAGGTCAGTGGTTTGGTGCGGGGTGTCCTGCGGAGGAGCCGTGGCTCGGTCCGCTTCAAAGGGCTTGGGTCACCATCCTCTCTCTGCCCCACATGGAAGCCGTAGTTGGCACTTCAGTTTCTTCATTGAAGAGGACGATAATCCAAACTTTCTGACTTCTCAAAATATTGTCAGGCCACGACGATGTGTGAGGTGAGAAAGTCTGTCACCAGGACTTTGTACGTGCATAGAGGGTTATGGCTACGGTGCTGTCTTGCTAACTTGGGACATGCCTCTGTACAGCGATTGTTTTATTGCTGTCGCCTCCTTGAGAGTGACATCTGGATGTGTGGGACTGTCAGCGAAGAAAACACACTTAGAATAATAGCATGGCCGGTGTCAGCATTTACTAGCTCTTAGATCTGGGGGAACTTACTAAATCTCTCTGAGCTTCCATTTCTTATCTCTTACATGATAGTAATATAGCACCCAGCTCCAAGAGTTCTGGCGAAGATGAAATAAGCTGATGCGTCAAAAGCTTCTGGCACATAGATGTTAACAAATGTTAGCTTTTACCCTTATGTTATTCCCACAGTTGGTGCACATGGGTAGATAGGTGCTTAGTCTAAGTTTTCTGGATTTTTATCTGTAACCCAGTGTTGGCCTGGAGTCTGTTCTGAAAGATCCCCCAGCCCCCTGCTGTTTCTGGTTGCAGTCCTCCAGGTGGGCTTGCTTGCAGCTCGTTTTTCTTACTCCTTCCAGTGTGTGCAAGTGGCAGGCTTGCTTCTGCAATCGCAGATCTGATATAAGAGCCTCAGGGTGGGGACTTGCTCGTCCACGGGAGTCACTGCCACTTCAGGTTTGCTCTCCAGGCGCCTCCATCCGCCTCACCCTAGTCTGGGCCCTGCTCAGACTGCCATTCTGGCTCACTCACGTGGCTCATCCTGCCTTCTGCTGCATTCCTGTGGGCAGGAGAGACAAGACACAGGCCAGGGAAGAGCTCAGGGACTCTCACCACCTCTGACGTTGCTCTTAAAAGGGGGGTGGGTGGTACACAACACCCTGCTTTCCCACAGTAACTTATTATGGATGCTGAACTCATCTCAGCCCCTGAAAAAACATTTTATTTTTGGTCCAGCTTGCTTTCTGGGATTAGAAATGTCATCTGGCTATTGCAAGGGATGTCAAGTAATTGCTTTGATTTGTCCTTAATTACTTTGTCGCATATCATAGGTTGCCCAGTTTTAATGGTGAGGTTAGCAAAGGGACTGTCTCTAGCCAAGGGGCCAGGGGGCGGCTGGAAGGCTCTGTTAACCTCCGACCTGCTCAAGAGAGTAATTTACTGAACAAATGGGTCGGGGCTCAGCATGTTGTGGGGGATGTGTCTCAGGTGGCTGGCGGGCACGAGTGCCCCTCCTCTACCTCCGTGGTGTGAGTGCTCGCACTAATGCATTTCCTGGGAAGCACGTTCTCCTGCAGGGCTGGCTTCTCCAGTGCCGGCTGGCGTGGTGAGAAACCGAGACCTCGGGCAGGTGGCCGGCTCCTGGTCCGTAAATGCCAGCGTGCTGAGTGTCACATGAGGCGGTGGAGGCAGTTCACTGTATTTCACATTCGTGTTGTTCGTCTTATTCTTTATTCTTTTAATTAATTAACTTATTAGTTATCTTTTCTTCTGTCCAAGACGCTCAACACTATACAGACCACGGAGGTGAGAGAGCGTGTCTGCCAAGACCCCCGTTGTCCTTGTCCAGCCCCAGCTTCAGACATCGGGACCCTGGGTTGTCGCCGCACTCACTCCTCCCGCTCGGCCTCCACGTGGGCCCGGGAGCCATAAGGAGAAGTTCCTCTGGGGGAGGCTCCCGGGTGGCCCTGGGGGCGGTGTGGTTCTGAAGGCCGAGGCTCACCGGATCCGTGATGAAATAACACCCACGGTCTTTTCTGGGGGTGACCCAGCCTTTTGTCCCGGCCTCCTTTATCTCTTGTGGGTGCAGATGCCCCCTTCATATTTGTTCCAGTTTTTTGAAGGGTTTTCTGGTTTGACAGTTACACTTAGAAACACTGAGTGTTCATTTTTTTGTACCCAGTGACCATTCCGCATTAAGTAGCTGGACTAAGGAAGGGATTTTATTTCTCTCTGAGCTGTAGTGTACAATTTAAGGCTCAGAAGTGGTTCTTTTAGTTGATAAATGAATAAAACTTAGAGTTTATCATTTGCGCTATTTGCAGGTATTCCTCGGTCCCTGGTAGGAGGCATACCATGTTCATGGTCAGGGGGTTCAGGGGCTGGGAGTGCACCCCTAACTGCTCCTGGTCCCCAGGCTCTCACTTTTCTCTGTAAGAATGCACGTCGAGGGAAAATAAAGTTTTGAGTTTGCGGTTTCTATTTCCACCTAACGTTGCGCTAGTATTTCTGGGGCATCTGTTGAGGCCTTGCTGCAGACAGAGAACTGCTCCCCTTTCCTGGATTCAGGCCTGAGAAGAGTGGAGTCAGAGCAAATGTGACAGCTGGGAATGCAGATGGTTCCGCGGGTGGCAGCAGCCACTCCCGCGGTCACACGATGGGCAGGGCCGCTGGGGAGGTGCAGGGGAGAGATGGAGACACAATCTGTGGAGATTGTTAACGGTTGCCTAAACTTCTAGAAGATCCATGCTGAGTGAGGTTTAGAAGTGATGATGAGAGATGAATGGTCAGCCTCCCTTTTCAAAGGTGCCGCATGCGCCTGAACAGTGTGCTGACTGCACTGTGTTTCGGTCCACTCAGCAGTGACAGGAAGACTTGGGGCCGGCAGCCGACCGTGCCCGAGGAGGCTGAGCTCTGCGTCACAGAGCAGATGACACTGGCCGCCAGCAGAGAGATGATGCTGCCCGACACGGTGGTTCAGGTTGATCGTGAGAAGTTGCTATTCACCCAGACGGCCCACACCTGCCCGTTAGGATCTCTGATGGGCCTGTTTATTTATTTTCTAGCTCCAATATTTGCAGGCCTAACAGAGACCCTAAGGCCTATGTGTATTCCCACTTGCATGATTTTTCCATGGCCATATCAACCTGAGAAATTGAAAATTTCTGCATAATTTTTAGGTTTCATGTTTTAATTTCAGTAGGCTGAGATCTGTAATGAGCATCTTTAGCTAGGAGTCATTAAAGATGATGTGGCGTGTCCAGGGTTACAAATTAGAAATCTGATCATGTTCCCCTGATTTGATTCGAGCCATGGAAGCGAAGTGAGCAAAGTGATAGAATTTCCCCTGGTGGCTGGTGAGTTACGGGTCAGTTTCAATTATCTCAGGATCCTCGCACAGCTTGTCCTCTGCATTTCTTGAATTATGACACTCTCAGGTCCTCACAGGCAAACTCATGTATCAGTGCTTATCCCTTCGGAATCTGGGCACTGTTAGTGCCTGCTAGACCTGAAGATACAGGACGTGTTTGGCCTGAGCTCCTTCTTTCAGTGGGGCGCTGATCACATGAGCTATTGGTTCATACTAGAGTTTAAGTCCCTAGGTGCAGGGTTGGCCCAGGCCTGTGGTAGATGATGAAAACCAAGCCGTACAGAACTTGCTGACTTTGCATGAGTCCTCTTTTGAGTCATGTTTAACCTAAGGTCGCAGGGCGGGAGGGCGGGAGGGTGGGCCCGGAGCTGGCGAAACAGACACCCTCTCTACCAGCACTGGTGGGTGGAAAGCAGGAGTGGCATGAACATAAAGGAGGAAAGATGCGGAAAAGCGCTGCTAGTAAGAGTTCACTTTTTTAGGAGGCAGCCTAGTACCTAAGAGCCTGCTGTTTACTAGCTGTGTGACTTGGGCAAATAATTAAAGTGCTCCAAGCCAATCTTTTCGTCTCTAAAAATGGAGATATAATAGCACTTGCCTCATAGGGGTGATGTGAGGGTTGATTGAACCTGGCATTTAGTAGATTCTTAGGAAGTGATACCTTCTTCTTTTCTTGCCTTTGAAAATCTAACAAAGTTGGAGATGACAGAGATCAGCCCGAGGGGATGGGCCGGGTTGGGGAGGCAGTGGGCAGTGATGGGGACCGCGGAGTCCAGGCTCTGGTCCAGCTCTGAGCTTACCGGGGAGTGTGCGGTGAGAGGTCACGGGCTCTGCCCTTGGGGGAGGGAGTTTGATCAAGTTGCTGTTGTCCCAGTTTCCTCATCAGTTGAGTGAAAGGCACAGGTGTCGTGAGATGGTCTTTGTTCCCCTCTAGCTCAGGGCTGTCTGCAGTGGTGCAGCCGTGGCAGATGGGAAGGGCCACGGTGTCCTGGTGCTGAAGCGCTCCCACCCCGACCACCCATGCGGCTGAGCAAGTTATTCATCCTCCTTGTGCCGCAGTTTTCTGGGGTATTGAAATCAGGCTAGTCATAGTATTTGCCTTGAGGGTGGTTGCAAGGTCAAGCGAGGTCCTCTACTGAAGCAGGGAACACAGAATAGGCACGCTGTGGGCCCCAAAATGTTAGCTAAAAATCACAGCCACAGATATGGAAGTAAGCTTCACACTGTTTGTTTTGTTTTTTAACTTCCCAGAAAAGAAAGCCGTACATGTAGGGAAGGTGGAGGTGGCAGGTGGTTGGGGTGGAAGGCATGGTTTTCAAAAGGAAAAGAAGGAGTTTCCGTAAGCTGTACCATGTGTCCTCTCGTCACCCTATGGAGTTCTCTTTGCTAACAGTTTGTAGCTACTGGACATTTCCACTACCTCACCTTTCTTTGTCAGTCCTTCTCTGTTATGAACCCATCTTGATGGACTCAGAAAACATATTTCTTCTTTTGACAGTCACATTTCAAAACCCCCTCACCTCCAAACACAGACTAGCAAGAAGCAAAGCGGACAGGGAACAGCAAGCTGAGGTATATTGTGTGAACCACCATTGTGTTTCGCTTCCTGGATTTATTTTTACTTCGGAGACAGTTGCCCCGGCCCCTTCTCCACTCTCTGTCTGTGTGGAGGAGGCTGTCCATTCACGCGCTGCTGAGCGAACTCTGAGGCTGAAGGCTTTTAGGGCAGGAGTCTGATGCAAGAGCACCCGG